AAAGTGGCTGTTAAAATCTCCCCAACTGACAATATATCAGGACGACTAGGCACACGTTCTAATTTATGTCCTACCTCACACACTAGTTCCTCATATGTAACGGAGTTCATTCTGATGAAGTTTTGGTATAATGCAGAGTTCATCAACTGCATTCCAGATGTCAGACTTTGATAATGCCCATGTGTTTTTCTCTCTTTTAAAAGAGGCCTTACATGCCACTTAGGTTTAGATCTAGAAATAGATGTAAAAAGACAAAAAGTTTGTTAAGCACTAGGTAAAATATATTTTACCTGGGTATTTTGTTCTTCAACTCAAGAGTAGAAATATATAATAATAATAATTTTCTCCTATAAACTTCTAAATTATAATTATAAGTTTCTAATTCGTGTTTTCTTTTCATCATTACCTATGTATCACAGAATAGATTAAGATAGAATTAGAATAAGATCAAATCTGTATTCTGTATTTCTGTGTATGCATTCTACTATTATGAATATGATTTATGAAGCTCAAAAAAAAAAAAACCTAAAAATAGTTTTAAAGTATACGTTGTTTTTTTTATCATTTCTTATCTAATCGGAAAATATTCATGGCTGGTATAAAACAAGATTAACCGTACATTTTCAATACGTGCGTAGTGCGTACGTCGTGCGTACGTGCGTAGTGCGTACGTCGTGCGTACGTGCGTCTGCAATAAACGTGCACGTACCTACACGCAAACGGTCCAGTGGAAACCCACCTTTATAATTCAAAAGCTTATCATTACCGAAACGGTGGCGGCAAATTGTCCGGTGGCGAGATGTCCGTCGGCAAAACGGTGGCGGCGAGAAGAGTAGATTCGTGAATATTTACCTAAAGTTGCCGGGTCATTAGTTGAACCAAAAATTAATGTTAAATAATGATTTTGTGGATTTATGAATTGAATAAACATTATTTACTATATTGAGTTTCAAAGTTGACTGTTTGTTTAGTACACCTATATTTATTTATATCAGTGCCTTTGATATTTACGACTGTCACATCCAGTCATTAGAACTGCTTCGTATGAATTACTAATCTGATTGCGAGTTTATTATTGCCGGCGACTTCAACTTATCATCAGCGCGTTACGAAATCAATTCTAAATCGGGTATTACCTTTTCTCCTGCCACTGCCCAATCTGATTCTATTCTTTTGGTTATTCCTTTTTTAACTTCCGTCAATTCAATCAAATATTCAATTATAATAATTCTCTATTAGACCTTGTCTTCTCATCGCTTCCAATGTTATCGGTCTACTTATCGTTAGATCCAATTGTCCCTATCGACAACCATCACCCGCCGTTATTAATCGATTCTAAATTACAATGCATTTCTAACACTCCCTCACAAAATCGATTTTTGGAATTTTAAAAAAGTGTACTTTTCTGATATTGCTTATGAATTAAATAAAATCCACTGGTCATTAACTTTTTTTAACCTAGATACTAACACAGCTGTTAATAAATTTAATTCTATTTGTTACGAGATCTTATTAAAACTTGTTCCTATTGTTACTTATATGTATAATTCATTCCCAATATGGTTTTAAAAAGAATTAAGACTGTTATTAAAAAAAAAAATAGCCCATCTTAAATTTAAACAATCTAAACACGTTTCAGATTACACCAATTTCTCTAATCTTCACCTACAATGCAAACAACTGTCTCGATCCTGTTATACTAATTTCATATCTAAAACTCAACATTGGTCAGCAAACCAAAACAATTTTGGAAATTTATTAAAGATCGCAAAAAATTAGACACCTTCCCTAGAGTCATGTTTTTAAATAATAAATCTGCACGGGAAGGGTTAAATATTTCAAATTTATTTGTAGAACACTTTTCTTCGGCCTATTCATATCTTTGTCCATCAACTGAAGGTTTAAAGGTTACGAACACCGAATGTATTGATTTGTGAAAAATCGATATTACTGTCCAAGAAGTTTTCTTAGCACTAGGTAAATTTAAGCATAATAGCTCACCTGGCTCTGACGGCATTCCTGAAATTGTCTTAAGCCAATTTAGATATGCTTTAACGCTTCCATTACACTACCTTTTTTCTCTATCGCTGTCTTCAGGCACATTTCCAGACTTATGGAAATCCTCTTATGTCCAGCCAGTTTTTAAAAATAGCGACCGCTCTAATATTATTAACTATCGTCCTATTAGTATTATGTCATCAATTCCTAAGCTTTTCGAATCTATTTTACTTCCAAAATTAAACTTCTCTTTTTCTAAATATATAATTCCACAACAATTTGGATTTCGTCCACATAGTTCCACTTCCTCAAATTGAGTTGCATATCATAAATATATAATGGACACAATTGAAAAAGGAGGTCAGATTGATGCTATCTATACAGATATTAGTAAAGCGTTTGATACGATTAACCACTCTGTACTGATTCGTAAGTTGGAGCTGATGGGTGTTAATAGTCCCATGTTAAATTGGCTCAGTTCATACATATCTTGTAGATCTCAAAAGGTAAGGTTACATGGTTATATTTCTAATAATATTTCAATACCCTGTAGTGAGCTGTGACTATGTTTAAATATTATAAATAATCATTCCAGTAAATCACTCCAGTAGTTCTAAATATACAGAAGAAACACGATATGCTGAAGGAGGCCTACGACGCATCTATTGCACGTGACCTCGAAACGTATATGTTAATAGATATATCACTACTTATATGAATATTATTAAAATAGTTCACATTAAAAGTGTTGTGTTGCCTCGATAGAGATGACAACGACCAGATAAGCAAGGGACATCCGGCGTGTGCAGCGCGTGGCCGCCCACGGTATGACCTTATATATGGTAAAGTAGTAGGATAATAAGCAGGGATATGATCCAAGGATCACCATTATAAATACGTCGCTCGAATAGGCTTCGGCAGACAGACCAACAACATCGAGCTAGACCAGTGGTTCCCAACTCAACAATAGGCACGGACCACTTTTATAAATTTTTCACCGTCACGGACCACTCCCTGATTTCAACCCCCCCCTCTTTATATCACTCATTTTTTTTATAGTTTTATATATAGTTTATAATTTCTAGGTACAAAATAAAATTAGAAATACAGTTTATGTTGTGGAAAAATATTTTAACTTATTTATTTAAAAATGTAATTTAATAAAAAAAGCTGATACAAATTTAAATTTTACATTTTACGAACTTATATTAATTAACTTATGTCTTATTCAATGAGAAAAAAATATAACAAATTTATATTATTGAGTATTAATGTGACTTATTAGGGCGCGCTTCTTTTACCAGTTGTGAAATTCTTGGAACGATGCTGTTGCTTAGTGCCAGTCGCATATCATCACTTGGATTCAGACGATTTCGTTGTTTATTTTTTATAGATAATAGTGAAGAAAATCCTTGCTCACATAAATATGTGGTTGAAAAAACCATGAGGAAACGTAATGCTGTTTGCCGAATTTTTGAATATCCCATGGCCTTTTTACACCAAAACTCTTCTAAGTTTGTACTATATTCAAACGAACTCTTCAAGTTGCTGTCGTTCTGAAGATCTATTAATTCTTCTTGCATTTCTTCTTGAACGTTGTTGACTTCGACAGTGAAAGGATTACGAATTAACTTCTTAACAACATCAGTGTCTACTACACCATATTCTGGAAAGTATCTGGTAAATTCCTCTTTAAGGACTCTTAATAAACTCCTCTCGAAGCTCAAATAAACGTGCCAACATATTCCCTTTAGTAAAATAATAATAGATAAAATACTAATGAAGATAAAATACGAAACGAGTAGGTAATACCTACGTGATAATAATATTATCGACAGATTATGAGACATAACTAGTAATAGTTACCGTAATATTATAGTAGTATAGTGGAAAAACGCAGATAAATATTTATCACAATTCAGCTATACCCGCATGACCGAATGTTATTTATATCCGTACATAAATTGTCATCGGTCGATTCGGTCGCGATAATTTGTTATCTGGCTGTCAGGCGCTAAGACGTTAATAATAAAAAATAGTATAATTTCGCTCATTTTTTTAAATTTAAATTTTTTTATTCGCGGACCACTTAAGATGAGTCCGCGGAC